CCCCCCCCCCAGTGCAGCAGCAAGGGTGGTGACACAGACAGCAGCAAGAGCGGAGGCAGAGGGGATGCTAAAGCTAAGCTAAATTGGCAGAAAATACGTAACACCTAAAGCAACACACGTGCAATAACCAGGGATCACAAGGAAATCAACATGCTCATGTTCTCAAAACTAAAAAACAAGTTCATGTACTCTTTCAACAACTATTTTTGTTTCGAATATGCTCTTGGCATGAATTCCATACACAGCCTTTGATCAGTACTGAGAAAAGTACACTTGTGAACCAAAAAAGGAATGAAAATAAGTACCAAAGAGCCTCTCAAACAACATACAACTGCCAGCCTCTCGTGGTACCTCTGTTATTTGCAGAATGCAAGTGACTGAGGGAACTGGGGCAAATAGTCAACAAGCTCATTTTTTTATTGCAACTAAACCATAACATTTGTGAATTTCACTTACCTGTCAAGTTCTTCAAACCAAGTTCCCTGAGTCCAAAGTTACCATCCTTTCTGTAGTTAAGAAATATCGCCAAAGCATATCGCTCTTCATAGAGTTTGGTCCCACGAACAATGCGCAGGTTCTCCAACGGCAAGTATTCAAACTGATTCAAAGCCACCAAAACATAGCCTGTGACTTCTCGGATAGACTGAAAGACAAAAATTAAACAAATACATTAGAAATAATCCATTTTTAATTATTCTGAATGTCTCATACAGTTGCTGCTTTACTATGAGATGCTGGTATCCAAGAAAAGAAAACCAACTTTGGAAAACAAATCCTGTTTCAACTTCTTAACCACATTTCTGTTTCAATTTAACTGAGTTTATTAGAGATATTGGTTGGAAAACTAGAAAATAAAGAGGTAGACATTCTTTTCAGTTTTATTAAACTTGAGCAGAAATTCACATTACGTATTAAAGATGTATGAAAGGACGATGTCGCACAATTCAAAGCAGAGGGCAGTTCAAAGGCCTCTGCAGGACCTTAGCAGAATCCACTGGGGCAATTCCACAGTTCAGATAAGATTGTCTGTCTGCAAGTAACTCTCTGTTGTACAGGATATTCTAGGGTGAGACTGACAGGACACAACATGCAGTAAGAGAGACACCTATGGAAAGGATGGTAGAAATGGGGGGGCACGTTTGGCAGAGTAAAGACAAAGCACAGATGTATTAATACCCACTTTTGTATTTCTAAATGAAATCAATCACTGAACATTTGCAACGATTCAACTTCAAGTTTCATTTGGAAGTACTGGAATTATACATGCTATATATCCCAGACTTTGACCAAAACTGGTATCAAAACCTTTAGCAAAATGATTGCTTCGTCTTTGGGTTGGCTGAAATCTGTTTGCTTTAGATGAACTACTCAATAACCGTCCTTATGCTCAGGAACTGATTGGCTGGGCTGTAGAGGACAAAACCACCCCAAACCCCAGTAATTAGAAACAGTTTTTCAAAGTCCAGCAGATTAAAAAAAAACTAAGATAATTTTAGAAAGGGGAAAAAAAGATTTAAAAGTATGCTCTTTTAGAAAACAAAGTTCATTCTAAGCACTTTAAGTAAATGGCCTAGAAATCTGAAAATGCCTTTGAAAAGTGTCGTTTCAACACTCACGTAGAGCCCCACCATCCTCAGCAGGACTCCACACAGGCTGAGGGGATGCTCCTGCCCAGGGCTGTTCCCAGAAACAGGACCTCCATGTTGGAAAGGGTGTCTCCAATACAGTTTTCAAATCTCACCTAATTCCATGCCTGCAACAGCCTGCAACCACTGTATATGCGTATATTTATGTGTGTATGTATATTTAATGGACAAAAATTTATATAACTACTTGAGCGCTTAAGTGAATGCATGCACTTTTTTCTTTCCTTTGGCAAAGTCAATACCTTAAACAATACACAGAAAGCAAAATTCTGCTTAGAGTAATGTGCACACACTATAACTAACGTGATGGGGACTCCAGTCAATACCGTAATAAAAACAAACAGCCAAACAATAGCAGGCATCAAATTAAATGTGTTGTGTATGTATCATTAATAAAGAAAGGCAACATGGATTTGCAGCACAAAGGGCAGGCTTTTGCTTTGCTGGTTCAGGGCTGTTGCCATGATTTCATATGTAAGTGTGTAAAAGCCTTTTAATTAGGTTTATAAAAGTTGATAAGGTTATTAACAAGGATGGCAGTATACATAAGGAAGGATTTATATGCCACAAACTCTAGGCACTAGCTGTCCTAAAGTCAGACATCTGTACTCAGCTGAAGCTGCTGAAAAAGCTCTGGAGCTATTTCAAGACTTGCTTGGCATCTAAACAGAGCACAGTGTCATTACAGGACTTTGATGAGAACCCAGTGAGTTGAGCTAGGTTGAGAAGTACGGTTCAGTAGCTCAATATTAAATGTAGAGCTGCATTATACCCTGGGACACTGATTCCATTATAATCAGAAGCTTTCCAGCACTTTCATGATAGCTCTTTGCTTTCAGACATTTCAGCTTAGCCAGTTTGGTTAGGAATTTATTTTTCATCGTATGCAAAAATTTCCTGAAACTGGCTTTTTTAGCCTCTCTTCAGAATTTAGGAAAGATTATACTCATGGCTTCATTTTCTCCACTGATACTCTAGGGATACTATGATTGCTGTAATTAATTTAAAGGGATGTTTAACTTGGAATGGAGTTGAAAAAAATTAAAAGTGGTTCCAAAGCTGCATCTGACCAAGTCCACCCTGCCAGGTTTTGTTGCTTATAACCATGTTTTCTATTTTTAGGGTATGTCTCATTTACTGCCGTACAGCAAATCCACCTGAAAGGGCCCTAATTCAGCATGGCACTGAAATTACACACACACACACTCACCAGCAAATCTTCATTCCAAAATTAAAAATAAAACAAACAAACAATAAAGTGGAGAAAAGAACAAAGTTTTGTTGTTGATAATTGTGAACTGCCACCTCTAACACAGAAGCCTTGGTACTTTCTTTGTTTGGTTTATCCAACTGAAATGACAAATTATGGCAAGTATTTTGACAAGCCAGAGGGTCCCTTCCAGTCCCATGGGTTCCACCAGTATTGCAACACCTATTATTTGTTAGAGAAACTGTAATGTTAATTGCTGCAAAACAAAATGATGAAAATAAACCTAAGCGTTTCTAATTTACTAGAATACATCAACCTGACTGACTAAATCTAGTGCTCTGTTATATTAACTTGGGGATTTACTTTATTTTTTAATTCAAATGTGAATGAAAAAGGCAGAGCAATAATGTGTTTTGCAGGATGGTGTGCTTTCTGATTGGTCCAGCTTGAAAAAACGTACTGGGAGTGTAGCAGGCAGCACAGGTTTTGGCCACTCCTCGCCAATGCTGTCACTTTGCCAGTCACTGCTAGTTTTGACATGATTCTTACTGAAAATGGACACCTGCCCGCTTGGAGCTCACTCCAAGCCCTGTTGGAGTCACTGCAAAGATATCTGTTGTCTTCCATGCAGACTCACAAATCCCCACGCCAGACTGGATATGACAGCCTGATCTCCTCCTCTGCAACTCATGCGGAGGTTAGGCATGATTTGAACCGCCCATCCTTTGTACACAAGGCTGAATGCTTTCCTGTTCAGGTATCCTGAACTTAGGTATAAGCTCAGGTATCCTAATGCTCTATCTATAATGCTGCTTTTGCTTCAACGTTAATCTGTGTCCCACAACGAAGGTGGAGTGATTCACAGCAGCGGTAGTTTTGAGTGTCACTTCCTAGTTTGATTCTTCTGCCAGGGCTGGAGGTCCTTGCAAAAACACTTTTCTAATGAGTCTGTCCCTCAGGAAAGAAAAAAAGGAGATAAGGATGCAAATAACTGCATTTTGCTCCCATAATCTACAACTAGAATGGAAACAGGCAGATTAATCACCAACAGATTTAAAGCTAAAAGTTTCCAAGGGGAAAAACCAAATGAACTCTGGCAACCTTGCTTGCTGACTACTGTGATTTTGTGGGACACCCCTAACTCCATTATAGCATTATTTCAACTGGGAATTCCTGGCCAGCATGATCTGGCCTTTTCTTGTCACCTTTCCAGTTCACGAGACATGACCTGTTATGTGAAGAAGCCATCAAGTGAAGCAGAGACAGGCTTAGGCTCCTATAGCACTCCTGCTGCTTTGGTAAATGCATTTTGGGTCCCCAAAGTCTGGATACGGCAGTGGGAGTAAGTATATAGATTTGAATGAGGAAAAGGCTGAAACTCACAGGCTCCCTGTTGTGAAGGGACAAGGGATGATGTTCATTGAGCACTCCAAGCAAACATCTCGCCATTCAAAAGCAGATGAGGAGACACCTCTGAGGATTCAAGAGCCAAAGGTGTCTGCTCCTCTGACTGGGCCTGTTAGGTACCAAAACCTGAAATAAAAGCAAGCATGCTTCTAGCAGGAAAAAAAAGGGGGGGAAGTATTAATCCTTGACAAATCTAAAACCACAGGATTCAGGTCTGATATATTTACCAGAGAAAAGCTCTTCATCTACATTTTCAGACAGGAGATGAGTACTTGTGCTCCACAGCCTACTGTCCCTACGTCCCAGGACTGCCCTGCACCCCAAAAACAGGTACGGTAGCCTATAAACCAGTCTCCTAACAGCCTCTACCATCCCCAGCATAGCCAATTTTTTGTTTTTAAACCTAAAAAAAAGTTACCCTTCAATGACAACAGACTCAGCCAAAGCCGTATATCGTGAAACTCCTGGTGCCCCCTCAGGGCACTGCCACAACATGGTGGCTGCTGTTCCCCTCAGCCATGCCCCGGCAGCTGCCTCAGAGGGTGCGGGGGGGCGTGCGCAGGGTGAACAGAGAAACAGGGTCCCAAAATGACACCAAAAAGAAAAGGGTTATTTTCAGACGTTCTTTTTTCAGGTGATGAACTGTAAAAACGAGCTCTAGACAACCCATTCCCTTAATTACAACTAATATGAGCTGAGCACAGGTAAAGTATTTTAAGCTCCCAACAGCAAAGCCAGAATTATCCTGTCAGCTGGGAGTAAAAGGCAAGATTGTTCCTTGCCATCTTAAATCGTCTTTCTGCTCAAGTTAAACGAATCTGAGTGAAACGGAGCAAAATAACGGCGAAAACTTCATCATTCTGCCCAGAACAACAGATCAATGAACGATTAGGGAAGCTGATGTTTCTCATAAACATTACCACGTCTTCTTAACATCTATTGGGGAAGGTTAGGCTGTGGCTAAGGCACCAAAGAGAGCTATGTTGTGGGGTTTTATTTCAGCTGCGGACGCATTACTTATCCAGTCGCTGAACCTGATCCGGCAAAGCCCTTGCTGCCTCATCTGACCGCACACGCGTCCCCGGCACGGGAGTCGGAGCAACAGCAACCTGCTGCGGGGGTCAGCCCACGCTTGTGGGACCCCAGACAACTAATTATCTTTTAGGCTAATTTTCCCCTTTTCCATAAAAGCTAAGTACATTTAATGTGTGCTTTGATCTCACTTCGAAAGTGCCAATAAACACAAGTGCAGGAGATAAGGATCACCTGAAGAATGAGTGTGTTTGATTCACAAACATTTAAAAAAAAATCAAAAACCTGTAAAGAACATATATTCAACATATTCACTTGAGAGACAAAGACAAAAGCCTTTGCTTTTCC